AATGGTAATGGTAATGGTAATGATAATGGTAATGATAATGATAATGGTAATGGTCATGGTAATGGTAATGATAATGATAATGGTGATAATGATGATAATGATGATAATGATGATAATGATGATAATGATGATAATAATAATAATAATAGTATAACAGACAAAAAGTATTCTGTAGGTAATTAATCTGTGGAAGTACTAAATGTGGAAAGAATGAAAATTTAAAATATTGTCCATTAAAAAAATCACATGACGCTAAAACTATCAAAGATCACACAAGTGTTTAAATAATATAATAAATTCAATATACGATATTGTAATGAATTGAAATATATAATAAATTGAAAATACAACATTTCATATGTATTTCGTTGTTTTAAACGGAAATGAAAAGAACGTCACGTGTTGCCAGCGATGAGAATCAGATGATGTCACAGTGATATAATAAATTGGAAGCACAATGGTTATTATTTTATTACTTGAAATGCAACGAGGGAGAACAATGTCATAAAGTTGAAACATATCATAAGCCAACGGAATAAAATAGATTTAGCAGAGAAAGCACGAGCAAACGATCAGTAGTAACAAATTTCGCTGTGAATGTAATAACCGTTCAAATTTCATCACGTTCCCTGTCTCAAAATCATGTGACATCGCGATTAGTAACGTCATCGATTATTGAGCGTTAAAAACCATAAGCTGCCACGCTAAATAATACAATAAACTGAACGTTGTTATCGAATTTTCAATGCTACAGTAAGTTGAAAATATAATAAATATATATATAAAAAAAAAGAAACGAGATAGATATATAATAATTACATCAATGAATGTATACTATATGTTAAATATATAATACAAAGCAGGGGTTTTTTATGAAAAAGAATAAATGGAATAAAATGTGCTCATTCAAGGCTTCTCGTTCTGGAGGAAACTTACCAAGTATATCAAGTATAGAATTTTGGCATATCATTTTACAAGGTGCAAGAATAGTAGACAATCAAAAATGTGGGACAACATTTGTTCACTCGAATATGTTTCGTTAGAAATTGTCTCGACTTCTTCTTCTTCTAAAAATTCCTCCCGGATATACGAATGCAAAAGAGAATCTAAGAAACAATAACTCGGTTTGAAGAGCCAAGAGCCATCGAAATGATTGAGATCGCATTCACGGGTAGGATACTCCGTGTAGATAGTTCGGGGTTCGTTTCTGTCGGGGAAATCAATGCAAATACAACGAATTTCATGGCACGACGTGCTCGAGAGAGCGGAGAGTAACGAGAGAGAGAGAGAGAGAGAGAGAGAAGGGCGAGAAGCAATGGCAGAAGGATTGCAAGAGAAGAGGGTATAAGGTAACATACATCACGTTTCCAGTTTATGGTCCGATACGCTCGTAGGAATTGGCACCCGTGCTGAGCTTTCCCGCAAATGCAAGGAACGCAGGGGGTTGGTACGACGAGGCAACAAGATACGAGGCGTTATGGCTCTTCCTGGCTCGTAACCTCTGGTCATAAAGCTACTGCACGCTAAAATATTGTCCGCCGCCACGTCTCCACGCCTACGCGTCTATCCGTCCGATCTATCTTAATGCTATTATCGTAATTTATTAGCGGCGTACCGAGCAGAATGAATCGATCGCGCCGTGGCTCGACCCTCCCGAAAACGAATCACGGATAATCTGAGACGATCGGCCCGTAATGAGGCCATTAAATACACGCGATACTAACTTCCAATTAGTTTACATCCGTTATGGTTCGAGCGACTACGACTACTTGGCTAAAGTCGGCTGTGATCATCGCTGAAGAATTCCTGCATTTTCGTATATGTACGTCGTTTACACGTTATTCGCACGAAATTATTCGAGTAATGTTCGTGTACGTTTTGCATTAAGGAAGGACAGATGTTATCAGCCAGTGTGGAATTGCAATGAGCCACGTAAAATGCGCCATGTATAGGATAGAATCGTTACACTTTGGCTCGAAAGTTTGATCGCTTTTTAAGTGATCGAATGAGACAGATTACAAGTTTCCAACGAGAAAGAAAATAAGGAATTCTTTTCCAATGCAAACGTCAAGATCCCATTTTATCCGCAATTCGTGTCAAACAAGTGTCCAAGAAAATTTATTACTTGGAAAAACTTGTGAAAATACAGTTTTCTAGTATACTGTTTAAACAAAGGGTTTCCTTCCAAAATTAAATTTAAAAAACACTAATTTCATCGATTTACACAAAAACGTTATCTTCAACAATTTCCGAGATATTTGACGGAAAATATGTTCCGCACCCTCAACTTCGAGGGTTTCGTCCCTTCGACGAAAAAAAAAAAATACGGGTCAAATATTTCTTCGAAAAGTACATTTATGCCAAATTTTATCAAAATCGGTGATTTCACTTCGGTATATTCCCTTGTTAATTAGAAAATAAGAATACGTATTCTTATAATTCTAAACTTGGCTTTTAACGCTAAAATGGTACTAACACTAACGTATCTTTATTTTTAGATTACTATTATTAATAGATTAGTAAAATTTGCACTCTGTATTTTGCATCATCTTCCATTCCAAAATTAATTATCTAACGTAAAAGTGTAAATGCTCAATTAGGGAATTAAACGCAGCAACTGAATTTTCGATTAATATATTTGTAATTCCAGTGCTACGAAAAAACAATATGTATTATTATCATGTTATTAAGTATCGATTAAATATTGATTTATTTAACTATACGTATAATTTCACTTTTTGCTGATTGTAAAATTTTATTGACGATTTATTAAACGGGGAGAAAAAGAAAAGAAAAGAAGAAAACACTGCAATAAACTTGCACAATTCACGTACACGCGATTTATCCCTCGCTTATCTTCGGTAATAAGATACAGATATTACCACCTGTCACATAATCAATAAATACAGTGAAATTAAGCAAGTGTCGAGTGTTTTTCTTTCTCTTTTAGCGCAAACAAGATTACACTCGCGCGATTATTAACGGATGTCAGAGTCGAGATGAAGTTTACGTTAATAAAGCAGAAAATTATGTTCTCATTGGAAATGTTCGTCTTGGCGTCTTGAAACTATCCGCGAGGCCGAAGGGAAATTCATCCGTTAAATATGGCCGCAAGGACAGCGAACGAGAGAAAATTGCGCAAAGCGGTGGCTGAGCTGTTGTCGAATTTCACGCAAGATATACGAATGACAAGTTTGTGGGAGAAGAAACTTGTCGTGCCAATTGACGTGCTCGTTCTCGAGCTTACCGGCCGTTTCGGATTTAGTAATTAAATTGGCCGTGTTATTTATTTTGTCTTTGCATACTTGTTAACAATGGTGATAAATCACTTTTGGCCGACGTTGATCGAGAATCGTGGCACAGCGTTGAATTTTACGAAACTGAGCTGGCAACTATCAACGTTTTCAAGTTAGAAATAATACGACAGACTGCGTTGACATACGCTCAGAGGATGGACGAAATTATTCGCTCGCTCGATGAAAAACTGTCTTTGTTCTTGTTGTAACTTTGTGAGAAAAATAATTCAGTTGGCTTTGTTATCAAATGCGAGGCCTCCGCTTTGACAACAAAATCAAAGATGATTCTTCACAAATTGTAAAAATTCAAGCGCAACCTCTGAGAAGGTTAGAAAAAATTTCTTTCACAACCCAATCCACCGTGATCCTGAAGGTGATTGAAGGTTTCCTCGTCTACAACGACTTCTTGAACCTTGCTCTACGATCTTTCTCCCCAGAAGGACCAAAAACGATTCTCGCATTTGCTTCTAAACATATTAAATTTAAATGACAAAGTGTTGTTAACCAATTTGTGGATAAACAAACATGCGCGGTTCGTTTACTCAGATGTATCACTTTGAGTGTCAACATAAAATATACAAATTTATTTACCTTCACAAAATTAAATTCAACATGCTATTACAAACAAGCGCCGAAAACCCCAAATTCCTATAAAATAAATAAAGAAAATATCATCCCACTCAAATAAGTAGAAAAAAATCGTAAGTTGCGCGAAAGAATTTAATTGAATTTTTTTTTCTTCTTCTTTTCGCACAGAACGTTGGATGGCCAATAATAGGAGGCGTGCATCAAAGCACGACCGCGAATTTAGGAAGATGGCGTACGTCCGCGAGACGTTACTTACACGCTTGCACACGCACGATATTATTATCTCGTGATTCATAGCGCGCATTCATAAACGTTTCCCAAGCTGCATAACGGCGCGGTACACAGCGGTATGTATCGATTAACGTCGCTCCCCGATGGGATTTACAGCCGGTGACTAAATTATTTAAAGTCTTCATTTGTAGCGCGACGGATGGACGGACACGAGCTGGCGACCACGTATCCAGTTCTTCCTCGGACGATTGTATGCGCTGCTGGTACAATCGCTGGCAAAAGTTGTATATCTTCGACCAAATCGTCCGCAGTTGAAGATGACAACTGAACAAACAATATTCAGATCGATATCGGATGATTTGCCGATAAGATTTCGGTCATTTGTTCCAAAGGAGAATTACACGACAGACCACTTGGATTTTGAAGCGTGAACTTTCGACATTTGATAGCCTTTGGCTTGTTTCTTTCGCATCACGCCAGCTGGTTGAAAAAAAATTGTAAAAATTGTAAAAATCCAAACGTCTCTGAAGAAATTGTTTCTTTCAGAATTCGTGGCCATTTTGTCGAACTTTGAACGTTTCTTTGAGAGTTTCAACTAGAGAAAATTCTAGAAATCCTTACATTTTTTTTTTTTTTTGATGTTCAAAGTTCAATAAAAGAAAAAATCGTGCCACAAGTTTTAAGAGGTGATTGTAAAGGAGAGGCTTGAATCTTCAAGATTCACAATGGATCTAGTCACGAAAGAAAAAAAAAAATTTTTGCAATACGCCTGGAGACGTTTGAATTTTTACAATTTTCTGGAATAAAAACATCTAACGAAGAATTACAATTCTATGTGGGAATAAAAGTATCTAATTATAATGTCTTTGAAAAATCTGAAGACAGTCAAAGTAGAGGCTTTACTTAGTTTACAAATAGATTTTTATAAAGTGTTTTTTTTCTTAACGAAGAAATGGTAGTTTAAATAAAGTATTGACAATTTTTCATTGCTATTTATTTAGTTATCAATTTCAACTATATATATATGCAAAGGTATGTCGTAAAGCGGGCATTCCACTCCTCTCTTCGCGTTAAATCGAATGTGTAACACAGTTTCCGCGATAAGGCGATCGATCGTCGCATGAAAGTTTTAACACGATCGATAGCTGGTATTTCTTAGATTAAAACCTAGTTTCTAGCAGCTGCGATAGTTTTATAGCGCCGCTATCGGCACCGCGTTAAATATTTATTCTGCTAGAGACGCGAGCGCTCGCTTGCTCGATGATATTTTCATTTGTGTATTCGCATTCCCTCTGCTTCGCCTTCGTGATGATGTATTCTAGGAAATGGTAGGTATTATTAAGTCGAAAGTAAGTCGAACTGTCTTTACTTGGATTTGTAAGTATTTAATTCAACGATAGCTAACTTCCTGTAACTTTTAGTTTGCAAATTACTGGCCGTTGTATTTTCAGAATGCACGCGGATCGAACGGGCTTAAAATTTAAATAAAGCGTCGAAATTAAACGCTTTGTTAAATAGATTATTATACGTAATTTTCCACTTATTTTCAATCGTTATCGTTAGCAATCGTTGGTAAAGTTCTTAGAATTTTCAACTTCTTGTTGCATTTTCAAGAAAACAGAGGTTAAAAGAAGAATATGAAATAAAATTATAATTCTCAATGTTGACAGTTCTCTATTAATTTCCAATTATCAGTTTCATCATCTTCAAGTATCATTGTTATTCTTGGTAAAGTTCTCACGACTTTAATAAACGTTTCGATGGACAAGAAGATAAAATAAAATTATAATTCTCAATGGACAGTCCTCTATTAATTTCCAGTTATCAGTTTCATCGTATCTTCAAGTATCATTATTGTTCTTGGTAAAGTTTTCAAGATTTTAATACATACAGTCACTTCTCACTTGCAAGTTGCCGAGATTCAACTTGAAAGACTTTAACGCAAATACAAAAAATAAAATAAACAGATGTTTAAAAATTCAACCATTCTTCAATGAGATTGTAATTCCTAATTGAAAAGCTTCCAAAAGTTTTGCCAAATATTTTGTACCGTTGTTAGTAATTTAATAAGTCATGCACGAGTCGTCCCAAGGTACTTTGAATACTTATAGTAACAGAAAGGACACACAGGAAATAGTTTACTACTGCAGCAGAAAAACGAAGATTATTATAATATTTGCCTATCTATAAGTTCCAAGGAGTGGAAGTCTTCTCTTGTTTAAATGAACAGTTCTGTGAAACTGTAAAGTATAATTTTTACATATACAACGTAACATCGTCCAGTACCGCTTCCGGTGAACTTTTGCGCGCGAGTATACGCGCGAGATTGTGTGGCGTGCCGCGGTTGCCACCGTCCGCGCCACGAACGTCCAAATGCTGCAGCAAAGAAGAAGAAGAAGAAGAAGAAGATGAGGAGGAGGAGGAGGAGGAAAGGGGAGAACGACGAGGCAGAGGAGAGAACCGATCGGTC